GCTCCATAATACAAGTAATCTACATTTTTACTTTTTTTGGTAACCATCCAAAGTATGTGAGTATTGGTTGATTTCATGATACAACATATTTTCAAAAGTCTACTAACTCTAAAGTTGGTTTAAGAGAATGAAACAAAAATCCAAGGTTGACAATAAGATGGCGGAGGAGTCTATTCCTGATGTCATACACCTGTGATTTTCCAGAATTAGTTTTAGCCTCAAAATCTTAATTAATTTTAATTAATAAATCTTCATTAATTTTCACCTCTAAACAGATGCTCCTGGATATCTCCCTTCCTGACCCAAAATTTCTAACCTCTGCTCTGAACTATAGCTACTACTATCAATAGAAGCAATCATTGCTCACTCAACTCAGTAGATTATTGCTTGATTTACATACCAAATAATAATAATTGATAATAATAAATTGGTAAAACACTGACAGTCTGACTCTACATCATATACTTAACGTAGTGGTTTTCTTGTTGATGCCATAAAATATCTAATAGAGTAAATTAAGTGAGGAGGAGCACTTTTTTTGGTTCACAGTCCCAGTGTATATCCTGGTGGGGAAGGCATGGCAGCAAGAGAATAAGGCGGCTGGTCACAGTGCATCCACTGTGGAAAGCAGGTGGAAATGAATGCGTGTGTTCAGCTAGCTGTCTCCTTTGTATTCAGCCCCAGGACTCCAGCTATGAGTCCTATGGGTAGGGAGTGGCTCCATACCCACTTAGGGTGTGTCTTTATACCATAGTTAACCTAGAAAATCACCTACATATATTCACATAGTCATTCTAAACATCCTCATGTGTTCCCTGAAATTTGTAAAGGCCTAACAACTTAAAGCACACCTGGGCATGGTATAAATAACACAAGCCCAGTCCAGGCCCAGGCTAAGAGAAATTGATAGCTTCTACTTTATGCCCATTGAAAGGTCTGAGAGCCCCAAAAAGTAGCCACTTTACTAAAGAAGCTACAGAGGAAATTCTGAAATTATTTTTTTTTATTTTTTATTTTTAATTTGTATCATTATCATTTATTACAATTTATTCAATTTGTATCTCAGCTCTGGCTCCCTCCCTTATATCCTCCTAAGCCCACCTTCTCTCCCTCTTCTCCCCCTATGCCCTTCCCCTAGTCCACTGATAGGGGAGGTCCTCCTCCACTTCTCTTTGACTCTAGCTTATCAGGTCTCATCAGGACTGGTTACATTGTCTTCCTCTGTGGCCTGGCAAAGCTGCCTCCTCTAGGGTGAGGTGATCAAAGAGCCAGCCACTGAGTTCATGCCAGAGATAGTCCCTGCTCCCATTACTAGGGACCCCACTTGGAGACTGAGTCTATGGGCTATATCTAAGCCTGGGTTTTTGGTCTTTTCCATGCATTGTGTTTGGTTGGGATATCATTCTCTTCAAACCCCCCCCCCCCCCCAGGGCTCAATTTTTATGACTCTGTTGGTCTCCTGAACACTCCATGGAGAAACACATAGTACGGCTTATCCTAGTCTTTCCAAATTTGATTAATCCAGGTCCAAGGGATGTGACAGAAGAAAGCCACTAGACTGCAGCAGGTGCTTAGTGAACTTCTGGAAACTTTATGAGTGGAAGCAGAATTCCATCGATGAAACCTACATCAATGTATGACTCTGTAAATTACGATATCTAATGACAGAGCTGTTTTTAGCTGTAGAGTTAAAGGAAAAGATGTTGCTTTTAGCAACAGTTCTTTCAGTGTCCTATGATCTGTACAGGATCACTTACCCAGTGTGAGAATAGATTAGACTTTACACCCAGAATGTCTGGCTTGAGTTCATTGTAGTTATATTATAGTTATGCCAGTGGAAAGGACTGTCTTTATACCCTGATTAATGTAGAAGCAGAACAATCCTGCAGTCATTGTACTTACGGTTATTAAGCAGCTACAACATAAAAAATAAAGCCTGTCTTGACTTCTGACTTACTCAGTGCCTTTAGAATATCTACTAAGTACAAGACTTTTATTGAAGATTATTATCGGCCCACCTGTCTTCTTAATGTACACGGTAGCTGGTTTTTCCTCCTAAATTGAGAGGAGCATCTTGAGGCATTCTTTTTAATATGAGGTCAAGATCCACTGCTTGGGCATAATAGCTGTGAGTAATTTAACCTAGACCATGCCATTCACAAGCAATTCTGTGCTCCTATCAGTAACAGACTGATGTATCACAGAGATCAAAGTACCAATTACTTCCAAAAGACTGGAGCATTGGAGAGCTGTATCAACTCAAAAACGATTTGTTCACATTCACACACAGTTAAGAGCAGCACTAAAAGCACTTTACAGTTTTCCTTTGATCTGATGTGAGCACTAGCCAAGGTCCATCAGAGATGAACTCCTCAAAGGAAGTTTTTTCGGCTAATGCTTTAGGGAAGAATCAGGGAAAATTTTTTGAATAGTGACACTTTTGTATTTGTGGTCACACATGCTTAATTGTTTTTCTCCTAGCAGAGTCTCATTTTAGTACAACCATGCTTTAATGATATTATCAAAGAGCAAAAGCAAAGAACAGAACATCACTTCTAAAATGGTCTGCATGTGATTTCATAGAGATGAAAACTGAATGATGGACTGGTGAACATGAAACTTAATCTTTCCTATTTTCTTTTCCTTTTTGAAGTACCTCTTGGAGATCAAAGCTTCATGAGTCCTCTTTATCCAAGAAAATTGGCAGGGTCAGACATTGGATGCATTTGAAGCTGCCTAGTATGTCCAGCATCGAAGACTTGCCCTAAATCTTAGGGTAGGCTTGATGTGCTCTGTAGACTGTACTTAGGCCAGAATGGGCTTGACTATGAAGCTTTCAGGTTCTCATAAAGCATGGTGCAAATTTCTTGTGAATAGCTGGTAAGAAAAAGACACCTAAAATCCTCCACACTACGTCTCTTCAAGCTTGTCTTTATGGAATCCTGTGGCTTCTGTATCCTTGGGCCCAAGTCTAGTCAATTCTGCAAAGCTGCTGGCTTTCCTCCAAGAGTATGTATTTACACACCCGTAAAAACAAAGAATATCAACAGATTTATATCCCATCTTTATAGCCTTAGCGGAAGGGAAAAAAGGGGAAAGCATGTAAAGATCTAATCCAATTTTCTCCAGCCTCTGAAAGAAAAGCAGCTCACCAGAGAAAAGCTGTTGGAGAGGGCTCTCCCAGGCACTTATTGCTCCAAGAGACAACAGAAGCTTAGAATTAAATCAGTGGCAAGTCTTATTCACCTGGAACTCCACCCCTGTCCAGAAGCCTCTGGCTCTCTCAGGTTGTACAAAGAGGTGAGGAATGCAACCAATCTGCTCCCCACCCCCCATGTACTTGCTTGTGAGAAAGAAAAAAAAAAAAAAAAGAACCAAAGACTGGAAATTACCACAAACTGAAGCTATTCCTGAATCCCTGTGTAGCATTAAATCCAATTGTGGTCAGTGAAAAATGTGAAAAATGGAGTGCAGAATCAACTATTCCTATGGAGAAAAAGACATTTGCTCTTCTGCTTCCCACAGAGCTAGCAGAATATACTCTGACAGAAATGAACCAGGTCTGCTAAGACCTGTGCAAACAGAACTGTCCTTTTACTAACAATAAACAGATCTATGCTTGAACTCTAGAGAGTCATAATAGAAATATATATTGCCTTTTATCTTCTTCTCAGTGAGTAGAGTGAGGTGTCAGGAGTTATTGCTCTAATATCAATGAAGAAGTGCTATTTTTCTCTCTCAGGCATGTGGTGCATAGGTATGCAAAGAATAGCACCCATGATTACAGGGCCACTCTGCTAGCCAGGTTCTTAGCAGCCTTTGGAAAACACATAAAATTGGCTGATAGCATCATCAGCACAGAGAGCTTCAGATTGTTTTTAGGAATCATGAAAGAAGATGTCTGGATTTCTGTTCAAGCTCAAAGAAGAGGAGTAAAGGAAGACAACATGCATCTGTACAGCGAAGTCGTGTAACTTAATTCAGGAAGATAAAAAGCACATAGTGAGTTTTAATTAATGATTCACTTTAAGCTCAGAGTGTCCACTGGAATGGATTGAAAGGTGATGTCGGGGGGCTCTACTGAACTCTTGGATCCTGTGTGAAAACTAAGAAGCAGAAGAGACAAGTACTGGCCTGCTTAATTTTACAAATAACTAGGGTAGGGATAATTTCCTTACAAGCATCAGGATGCCTTCTTTGATGCCAAAGCATTTAAGGCTAATAACTCGATTAACCTCATAGCCCCCTACTAACTAGATTTATGAACTGCCAAGGGAGGCAGCTAAGTATTAAGCTTTAGTTTGTATATAATTACTTTCCAGTGAACAAAAAAAAAGCCTTACCACAAAATTAAGAAATTTTGCTTAGCTAAAATAAAACCTTTACAGTTTATAATGTAATCAGTATATTAGTCAAATAAAGTTGTTTTTTTTTTTAAAGATTCCCAAATGACAAGTCATTAATTAGGACTTAATGTCAAACACAAAGACTGTTATTCACCAGGAGTTTTTGAGCTTCTAGTTTCAATTGTCCTTGATTTAATGATACACATTGACCTTAATAATGTGAAATTCATGTTTTACCAAAGCTATCTGGAGGATATGAATAGAATTGAACTAGGGTATAGACTTGCTTATGATAACAAATGCTCATTTTCCTCTTCCCACTTTCAGTTATTTGAAAAGAAAAGGCAATTCAATGAGAGGAGAGGGATGTCTTGTTATAAAAGCATAGTCCATTTTTCATTTTGAATAATAGCTTTCCAGTTTCAGTGATAAATGAAAGGGATAACATGACTTATCTCATGAACTCATGAGTGCCACAGGCTTCTTTAATTCTCTCAGTCATTACTTCCTCTTTCTATAGTCTTAGTGCTCATTACCAGGGGCATCTGCATCTTCATTCGAAGGAGGGCAATTTAAAGTACTTAGCTACCTCGATCACAGCATTAATGTTGCAAAGCCAAGAAAGAAGAACAGTATTACAGGAGAAACGCTTACCTGAATGCTGGCTGTAGAGCGATTCTTGCGGGTGGTGGTAGTAGCCATGGTGGTGGTGGTTTCCATGACAGTGGTAGACATTTCAGGTGGCATGGAGGTTGTCTGTGTTGTTCCTGGGAGTGGTGGAATTTCTCCCACTAGCCGGACACTTCCATTGATTTTAATATTAGGGTTGTTCTCCGCTGCCATGTTCAGTACTTTCAAACCGTCATAATAGAGCCCAGAGAGTTGGCCTTGGAAGAGGCGTCCTTTGTCCTTTCCTCCGATGGCTATTTGCGCCTGGGTGTTGAAGATGGTTAACTGCCGGCCTAGTGGATTAGGTGGAGGAAAGACTATTATTCCCATACATTTCTGCTCCTTGCCTTACCTATTCTATATGGAGTAAGCACCTAAGGAGGTTTCCTTCAACACCAGAAATGGATAAAATGTATAAGAAAAATTCACTACCGACACTGGTGAGTAATTCATGGTAATTACCTCTTCCACTGTCTAGTTAGAATTTCTAAGTTTCCAGAATAACTAAGTCTTTTTATTATTATTATTATTCTAAGGAAGAAGACATCTTGGTTTAAACATGAGCAGTGTTACAGTCTTCTGAGACATACAATTGAGGTTGACAGAAACATCTAGTTTAGATCATGACCAGAATGAATCACAGATGCCTACTGCTCTGATTGAAGCTACAAATTAACATAATGACAACAAAAAAGAATGATATGCGGCAAACAAAACTCAATGAGGTGACGGAGAACATTGAGTTTAAAAATTAGGTTCAGTAATTAAATTAAATTTACTGAAATTAAACTGCAATTAAGAGGCTCAGATTCATTGCATGCTTATAAAAATGGACACTCTAGTAACCAGGAATAGAGTTTTCCATAAATCTTCACAGTGAGAGTGAGTAATATTCTATCAGCATTTGCTATTTAACAAAATCATGATAAATGTATAATTTGGAGGGAGGTATGATCAGTCAATAGATTATTATATAATAAGGGGAAGTGTTTAGACATTGATAGAGTTCCTAGAATGGGAATGGAAATGGGAATGAGGTAATTCTATAATGGTTTTAAAAGGATAAGGGAAGAGTAATAAGAATATATTATGTGTATGAATGACATAGTCAAATACTATAATTAATAAGTAAAAATTAATTTTGATAAGAATATGGGTACTGACAAAGAGAACAACACACAAATTTTCTTGAAAGATGTAGAGACATGATAATAGATTATAAAATATCAATAGTCTTATATCAGGTTTTCTGGTGGGTACCATTTATGCTTTTGTGGATAAAAAACTATTGGAAAATATCATGGCGGAACAGTTTAGAATGGAGCATTCAGCTAACCAGGCTTATTCACAATGATTTCTGCTTATTTTTTAAAGCCAAAGTAGGCCTTTCCTATTGGGTAAAAACAGCTTTTAAAACCTCATTTTAATTTATCATGACAGCAACATGCTAAGGCCTTCCTTCATGTTATCTCTTTAGATTAACTCCATCTGCTTTCCCAGATGGAGTAGAGGAGAAGAAAGGACAGCTATCCATGAAATTAGAAACATTGTTCTGGAGTTTTCTTTAGTTGGTTATCAACAGATCTGCTAATTCTTCATCTAATCACCTATATTATTTTGCTGTATATAACTGTAAAGAATTTTCTACTCATGTCTGCATGTTTAACGCACAGTGGTGCAAGGTAATGGGCTAGATGTCCCATTTGTTTCTTTGGGAGCCATACACTTACTACAATAGAAATAAGATACTAGATACAGAGAATAAATTTTGCTTAACTTCATATCAGCATTTGGAGAAGCTTAGCATACTGATTTAGAAGAAGCCTTTTAGTGAGGAATTTCTAAGGTAAACTTTAGTATTTTAAGCTAGATACCCTCCATGCAAGGTATCTTTTGCATATGCACAACTGTTGCCTAATTATAACACTCTCTCTTTTTTTATCTTTCATCCTCTCTTCCTTCCTCCCTCTCTCTTTTCTATGTAACCTAGCATTAGTGATTAGTTAACGACTGAGTAGCCTTGATTATATATAGAATATTTTATATTCTAATATCCTTGGACTGCTTCATAATGAAAACCACTTATGGTCCTCATCTTCCTTTCCTGGAAAGGCTCATTTTGCCAATACTTAAAAATGAAAAGCAGTCAGCAAAAAATTGAAATTCAAACTGCAATAGGCTGGCTGGAAATGACGGATTGCCTTCATTCTGTTTGCTATAATTCACTCCATAAAGTAGTCATTGCTTATTCAAGAATGACCTAAGAATGAGGAAAGGCATGATATATGTGAGGTCATTAGACTGAAGTGTTGCTTTTCTCTTGGTTATCACTGTTTTGCCAAGGAGATATGACCACTCAGTTCTAAGTGCCCACACACTGGTGGATGAGACAGAGAAGAGACAAAAAGAGACCATCTAAGATTCAGTTTCTTTCCATGATATAGGAAATGTTTGGGTTTCTGTTAGCTTCTTTGTTTGGTAGCCATATGGGTAGGTCTTTTCCCTTTTCTTTTACAACCTTCTCCTAGCCCTCTGCACTTTCCCTAGGTGTTTAGGGCAAGAGCTAGAAGTTTCTTGAGAAGGGGAACACTCTGTCTCTTCCAATGTCTTCCTGTCACTGCCTCATCTCTCTTTAGCTGCACAAAAGCTCAAGAACAATAACCTCTACCTGTGGACAATACCTGTGGACTGGAAAAAGTTTCTGTTTTCATCATTTGCCCAAGATACCTCAAAATCAATGCCAGATATCATTCTCATTGTTGTGATTGATACTGTTTAATGTTTAATAATGTACTTATGTACATTTAAATATAAAAGTGCACCATAAATGTAAATAAATATTTAGAGTATGAGGGCTGTTCTATCAAAAATAATATGAAATTTGATGATAACAGCAGTACATGGTTTCTAGCATGTAACTGTTTTATTTTAGATGCACATCCTTTGGGAAGTCTTGATTTGTTGCCTCATTTTAACGTCAAGTTCATATAGGCTTAAATTAAATCTTTGCACATCTCTAGTCAGTGTTGTACAAAGGCTAATTAATTAAATCTCAGAATACCCTGGGGGGAAGAGGCAGTATTACTTCTGCTCTCCTTATATGGGAAATCTGAGACACAAAGAGGTTAAGTGGATTGTCTAAGGTCAAAAAGTCAGTCAATAGCAGACAGAGCCAGCAAACAGGCTAGAGAATTCTGTGACCCAGCTCTCCTCCCCAGTGACAGAAATAACTCCAAAGAGACATTCCATGTACTTCTGCATGCATCTGTCTAGTCATCCTTTTATCCATTTACCCTTTATACTCATCTTCACAAAGTCTTTCAGTGCAAATTTCCATTCCATTTGAAAATGAAGTTAGCTAGGCAGAGGAAGAGGTAAAGAGAATTGATGCTACTCACCCAAATTATATAACGAGTACTTTCAGAGAAAATATTCTCACAGTTTGCAAATAAGTTATTCAATAATATATGCATACACTCTATGCATAGGTGTCTAATAATGAAACCAGGACACCCCCATTAACCACCCTTTCACATCCCAGCAGTCAACATGTCTATGTGAGGGCTTTTACATGAAAGCCAGCTGATAACGAAGCTATCAGAAAGAAAACTAAAAGCTAACTAACTACTTTATAATGGTTTGTACAAATGAAAATGCCTGGCATGCTATAAAAACTTAGACTTCAAAAGGCAATGGAATACAATAAAATATTATTAACATAAAATTGAAAGAAACACAAAAGTTTTCTCAGGCACGTGAGACTCAGACATGCATCTAGTTCGCTATTTTAAAAGTGAGGCAATCTTTAATGTTAAAGGGACTTTATGAGCTGTTGATTACTAATCGAAATTATTTGCTTTTTAGGGTTATTCTTAATTTATTTTTAATTAGACCACATAGGTTGAAAGCAGGGCATGCAGTTAAGATTCAGTAAGGATTTTCCATGTCTAACCGTCCGAAGAATAAACAGGCATCCTTCATCTCTTCATTAATATATTATATAATATCTCCAATTACTCCTCATATGTGACTTAGTCAAATCCGTGCAACATGCAAGAGGTTCTCTTAGGCACTGAGACAAGAGTTCAATTATTCTGTCTCAGAAAAGAACAGAACCTGTAGCTTTCTTGGAGATAAGAGAATTTTCTTCATGGGAAAACAATTGTGTATCTAGTAAGCAAAAGAAACCACACAGAAAATTCTGCCAGGATGAAAACTGCTGCCCTTTTTGATTCAGGGAGTGGTTGCTACTGTCAGCAAATCCGAATTTACTGTTTGGATTTTCACAAGAGTTTTCCTTTATCAACTCATTGTCTTAACAACTTTCACTTCGTTGCATAACGAAGGCACAAAGGGTATCACACTTCCTGAGTGTGAAACAAGTTTGTTTAGTTTTAGTTTCCTGCAGCAACTGGAAAGTAATTAAGCTCACCTAAAAACTTTGCCTCTGATGGTTTGAATTTAGAGGCAAGATCTGTTTTTTTCTCAGCCTTTGTGTTGTTTAAAAACAAATGTTAACACATACTGCTTCCTTTGTAACATTTGTTTTAAGCAGTTTAATTTACAAGAGTTGATCTAAGACTTTTTGTTTTGTTTTGTTGGTTAATCAAGCTATAGACAGTATAGCCAATCAGCCTCAAGACATAAGTTTAACAAGTTCATTTGAAAATTCTTTAGAAAGCTTTGGTGAGAGGTAATTTAAAACAAATTGACAAATAATGTCATGCAGTGATTAAATTGCCATAATTCATCTTTTTTTTTCTTTTTCTTTTCTGTTCTTTTTTTTTTTAAGACTTTCCTGGAATTCCTTGTTTGTGGCTGCCATGCTGACAGCAAGCTAGATGTTAGTCCCTTTAACTGTGTTTTAATGGCGATGTATTATTGCATGATTTATCAACATATGGCAGGTGGAAGCTGACACAAATTATAATGAAAATTAAAACAGTCATTTATGCAGCAGGCGATTATCATTTAAGGAACATTTATTTGCAGGCTTTAAAAATGAGGGTTTAGAGTCAGATGATTTTAGAATGAAAGTTTTAACGACCGTTACCTTTTTCCTGCAGCCACTCCTCTACAGGCCGGTTATATTTGAAGGGGATTTTCTGTTTTACCATTTGGAGGCGTTCATTATCAGTGTTGCCTTTAAAGTTTAAAAAACAGCTTAAAGAACAATCTGAAAAGTCAATAGGTCATTAAAAAAACATACTAGGTGTTCAGTTTGTTTTATGAAGATTTTTAGAGATAGATATAAATTTATCTTTAGTAAGGTGGAGTTGAAGTCACTCTGTCTTTGGATGACAGGTTGGAGGTCAGATTGGTCTCAACTATGCAGTGCTCCATCATGTTTCGGTCACGTGATTTAGGATATAGCTCAGTAAGCGGTTGAGCTATTTGCAGAAATCTCTTTTCCTTTTTACTCTGTCTCCTCCTTCTTCCATCTACCACTGACTTGTTCCCAGTGGTACTGATCACATTTTTGAATATTTCTCCTACCACACCAATTTCACAATGCCAAAAGAACGTTCATATGTTCATTCATTCAGATGCTACTACTGTTTCTCTGATAGGTTCCCTTAAGGAGCATGGGGTATACACTTGCTGCTACTCTCTAGCATCTGCCCGTGTGCTGTAATCTAGAAAAAGGTGCCAAAGAAGATGGCTGTTATCCAAGGGAGACTGGCAAAGAAACAGTGCTAGGATTTTGTTACTTTTTGTTTGTTTGTTTGTTTTGTTTGTTTGGTTGGTGGATGGTTTGGGTTTCTGAGATAAGGCTCTGACTGTAGTTCAGATTTGCCTTATCTTGTGGTAATATTTCAGCCCTCAGAGCTTGGGCTAAAGGCAGATTTCTTACTCCAAAAGAACACCTTGGTAGTACAGTACCTATGTGAAACTGGCAGAGTAGTACAATTGGCACTGTGGATCTCTATCTTTTTGTTGTTTTTGTTACACACCTTAAATAGATGGGGTCCATAAAGAACATAACTAGAGGCAAAGGAAGTTATACTGTTATCTAGCATCTCCAGGCTTTTGAGCGTTTACATTTTATTATTGCTAGAACATGCTGACTCAAGTGTTCATTCTCTTCCCTCTCTTCCCCACGCCCTCTCCCTAGTCTATGAAAGGACCTTTCTGAACAAGCATCCATTCACAAATCCTGTTAAGGATATTTCTTTTGAGCACGAAATATCAAATTAGCTTCTGGCTCAAACGTTTTCTTTGCCTCTTCTTCCTTTTGTAACTGTTATTACAACTCCTGAGGAGTTTCTCTAATTAGTAGAGACTTGGAGTGTGGTAGTATGGAGTTACCCCCCTAATGAATATGCTTCAAATAACAAAATAATGAAGGCATGCTTTGGGAACTGTTCTAGCTCATCAGCCAACCTCACATTGATTTAGTAAAATCCGCTACACTGTAATTCATCATGTTTGATTCAGAGCCCTGTATTAAAACTCAGGGAACTCCATTCCAAATTACTAATATTTTAAAAGGGAAATAAAAATCTTAATGCAGGTGTTTCAGGAGCAAATTAGAGAGAGGTCTTGAAGCTAGAGTGAATATTAGGCTCTAGCAGAGCATCCAACAGGCCAAGCAAACAGAAGTGAGCCACAACATTCTAATCACAGAGCCACTGAAATGCAGTAATTACCACTGGCTCAGAGGATGTCACAAGTGATAATTAGGACCTGCTTGGTGGGTTTGGTGGGGGAAGGTAGAAGAATGAGATAGAAAGTGGGTAGCAATCTGGGGGAGGGGAGGAGGATGGTGGTTCCCCATAGGCTTCTCTGATGAAAACATTCTTCTAAAACTCTGAGTCATCCTTACTGTCCTGACACGTCAATAAACAAACAACAGCTATGATATGTTTCCAGCCCACATTTCAGATCTCTAGCTGCCTACCTAAATCATAACATGCCAACATATCAAAGGGCATTTGTAACTCATTGGAGGCTTTTTTGTCCAGTACCTCAAGGCCTTGGGTTGTTGCCTAGGACTACCAACCAAACAAAAACCTATTGCAGAATAATGTGAATACAGGGAACTGAATGATAAACAGTTCTGGATTCTCATGTATAATTTAGAGGTTTTTTTTTCTCAAATTATAGCAGCATAAAGGGTAGGAGACAATAAGCAAAGAGGAAAAAAAAACACAAGAAACAAACATCATTTGTTGCTATCTTAACATGGGCCCTATTGAATTGAAGGACCTGGGTTTACCTAGTCCGTACAGCTCCAAGACTGTTATCCTTGAAGAATCGGTGTACTCTGTATTATATTAATCCAAAGGAAATTTGGCAATTCACAATTTTGTTTTTCATAGAAATGGAATACATTTCTAAAAAGAACCCATATGCCTGAACTTTAATTCTATCCAGGAGGTGGCACATAAGGTATGGACTGCCACAACACATGGCATGCCACATTGAGGAACGGCAATTAAATTGTGCTGGATTCACCTTCGATACATTTTTTCTGCTTTGGGTTTTCTGTATTTATTATCGTTGTTGGCAGCATCACAAATACAACGATGATTTTTGTTTTCCTCCATTGAATGAATTAATAAAGCCAGAAGGAAATATAAAAATGGGAAATCTTATATACAGGGAAAATGCAGAAATAACTAAAAGTCCAAATTGTCAGTGTCGTTTAGACACCAAGTTGATTAATTTACAGTCTATATTGATATGCTTCCTCTAAATATACACGGTTCTTAGCCCTCTCAAAGTGCCCAGAATCCATGTTTCATCTGCTTTTAAGTATAAGCAGTTAGGGAATCATTTATAGATATAGTATAGGGTAGGAAGAGAGGAAGCTTTTGGGTAACCAGTGAAGAAGAGCACAGCTGGAATCAACCTCTGACCTTCCTGAAAACATAAAGACAGACTCCATTCTTCTCCACCTCAGCTTTAAAGACATTTAGAATCATGGTTTAAGTCTTGCACGCCAGACTGATACCGTCCGGCCCCAAGGATGGTGATCTAGCATGTGTTAAAAGTCATGAGAGATGGAAGGCCATTTAAACAACCACCTTGGTTTAAGTCACCACATTAACATTTTTCTTAGTCTCTTTTCATGTTCTTGTTGGCTTTTATTTTAATTTATCTGAAACACTTGTAAACTCTATTTTAGAAACATCTGCAAGTGAATGAGTTTCTTTGACCTGAACCCCATTCCATAGATCGACGGAAGGGCAGATATTCTTTATATAAAAATTTATACAAACCACTTTAAACTCATATACACTCTTATTAAATACACAATGACATTAAGTAATACATTTCATATAACAGCTAGTATGGATACCTAAAAAGTATAATTAATTACTCAATAAAAATAATGCTATACTCAGGATAGAATGGCCTTATGAACAGTAAGTCATAATTTCCTTCAAATAAAGCATAGGCATTACTGATTTGACAGAAACATCAGTTATTATTACCACATGGAGAAACCCATAAATTGAATACAGAGGTCTTAAAATAAGTACTTAAGTTAATTATATGAATCTGACATCTACATGGAATGGAATTTTTATAAAAAGAAATAGCCATGCTTTAGTCTACTTGAAACAGAATGTGTACATGTTTATTCTCTGCCACTCTTGACAAGCTATTGAGACTCTCATACAATTGGTTTTCTGCAGTCTACTGTTAACAACTAGTTCTACTTCTGAAGACCTGTACAATATGCACTGTGAAATTGTAACATTGTGGAGAGCAGAGAACTCTGAGTAAAATCACTAAAGCCCAACTGATTCATACACATAGCACTGATCATCATGGAGAACTACCTCACAGTCCACAGTTTCTACTTTGGGCTTAACCGTTTGAGGACTAAAATATTAAAGTAATGGAAAGAGAGTAAGATGAGATGAGCAAAGCAAATTGACCCTTCAATTGGTCTGTACCTTACATCAGCATCTTTAAGATGAAGACTTGAAATTTGCTAATCACCCCCAAAAAGTAACAACAGCCTTCAACTGGAGAACTGAATGAATATAATAAGTAGAAAATTCTTGCATAGAACTGAAAGCCACATCTCTAATGTCATGGTCAAAACATGGGCTACTTTCTTAGGAGTTATGTTATTTTTTTAAAAAAGCTCTAATCAATATTGTGTAGAAGCTTAGTCTGTGGAATATGAGTTGTAAATTTACTATTTATAATCTGTATGACTTTGGGGAAATCACTCAGCATTAGATTCTCCATTTCCCAGTTCACTCTAGGAATTAATGCTGAGTTATATGGGGTAGAATACATACAAATGATAGATAAAAAGAACATTGAATGTGTTTGTGAGAATAATACTAATATAATTTGACTCCCCTCTGGTCCAAAGGAAGCACACTGGTTCCCGGGTTCGTGCCCATGTTGTTCAAACCTTATCAGTTGTCATTTAAAGATGACTGTACCGCCTTTGTACTCAGAGGTTATCACTCAAAGAATGACAGATCATAAAACAAGTAAAACATTCTAAATATCCCTCTGAATCTCCAGTTGTTGCTGTTTATATGTCTGTACTTTCTAAAATATATTCAGCGAACTCCATTTCCAAAGCAAAGTGGGTTTCTAAAACCGTGGAAAGTAAAAGAGCAATTCAGGCACTGACAAATGTGATTTCTTGGTCCAGCCACAGGTAATGATGATATAGTGCCACTGAGTTGAGGAAGAGTTGCTTAAAGGTTCTGGCAATTTGCACTAGGCTGGCAGAAAATGCTTTTCTGCAAGCAGACTATTAATACCATCTGAAGTGTTGTCAAGCATGTGGCCACGCTAACAGGAGTAACTGTAACAACATTCATCTGGATGAAATTAATGCCAGAGGTATTTTTGCATTTTGTTTTGAGTTCCAGAATGGGGAAAGAAAAGTTTTCTTTATTGCTCTGTCAACATTAAAAAAAAATGAGAGTATGAGTGTAATGAATAGTTGGAGACTGAGGACTATGGACTAGGGCTGGTGGCAAAAGAAAATCAATGCAGGAAACTCAAGTGCTGGGGCAGTTCACAGGTTCTTGCCATACCTCTGTCCTCAAGGAACACTTTGTGAGTTTCAAAGAAAATATATAACACTGAAGAAAAGGCACCAGGAACTCTGTGAGTATGGCTCTGGTCACAATCTTGGAGCATTCCCAAAACAGCTTT